GTCCTTCGACCCCGAACACGGCCACCGATTTCGCCGCCACGTAACGCGCGAGCGCGGGCGCTACCCGCGCTTACACCGGCCGCCGCTAGGCGGCTACGCCGCGCGAGTCGCGCGCGAGCCGTTTCGCGCCGGCGACATCACGCGCCACGCGTATAAGTACCGGTCCTCGGGCCAGGGACGAACAGAGTCGATTCTCGAGGACTTTAAGTCTACAACGATTATCACGCTGAAAACCCGTAGCCTGAACAAAGGTAATACGATCAGCAACTCTCGTACCCGGTCGTTGGCAATTAGAACCATCGACTTCCCGCTCCCGCGGACGCACACGGACTTACGTCGCTTCGTCGTAGCTCGTCTGCTCGGAACCTCCCCGTTGAGAGGCACGCCGAGAGACTTGCTCCGCTCGTTCGAGATAACCGCGTTCTAGTATACTTCGCCTAATATAGAAACCGTAGTCTTAGTAACATATCCGTAGCTTTAGTCTAGTATAACGAATAACCGTATTCCGTCTGCGTCCGCCATATCTTATGTGTTTAGCATTAAGTTTCTCTTAACGTCATACGTATATCGCGGCGATCCGTTAGTCCTAACGCGCAACTGCTCTTCCGTAGCTCACGACGACCGACCGACAACGGCAACCCGGACCCCGCGCCCGAAGCAGCGCCACGGGACCGGCCTGTACCTTTAGATTTAAGTGTTAGTTGAATAAATTATATTTTACCAGATTTCCGTTTACCACTTTATTTACCCGCCTCTAGACTTAAGCGCGAAACGATAGGACCGCGTAACCACTCGGGGACGCACCTAACTCACCGACTCGGGTTACGCGCGTCACAAGTTAGAAATAGCAGGAACAATAACAGTAACTATTAGACTCGGTGGAAGTAGACAAGACGGAATAAGTTTATATGTTGTACCAGAATATACTATGGTAGCTCCAGTAGGGCTAGGCAGAGATGTTACTAAACAATTTGATTTAAAATTGACCGCGCCGTTTGTAAACCGAGTAGACGAAGTAATTTCCGAGATTTTCCAAGAAACGCATGCGAATATAACCGATACTTTATTAATTGATTCTACTGCGTTACAGACCGACGAATTGCGCTTAAAGAATCTATTTGCGATAGAGTACGTACAACCCAAGCCTCCGGAAGAAGCGAAAATCAAATCTGAGTTGAAATTAATAGTAAAAGATTTGAAGCCGTTCAGTTTTTCTCCGCGTAGATTATCTTATGCTGAACGAGGTAGTTTACGTACAATTTTAGATGATTTATTGGTAAAAGGCGTGATCCGTGTAAGTGAATCGGAATATGTATTGTATAATCGGAACACATTGTACTGGTGAAAAAGAAAAACGGTGAATTTAGAATCTGTGTTGACTATCGCAAATTAAACAAACATTTTGCTAGAGATAATTATCCCATTCCGCTTATTGAGGATCAGTTGAGCGTATTGAAAGGAAAAAAGTATTTTAGTTTGCTTGATTTAAAAGATGGGTTTCATTATATACTAGTTGCTGAAGAATCTATCAAGTATACGTCGTTTATTACACCGTTTGGTCAATATGAATTTATGAAAATGCCTTTTGGGTTAAAGCCGGCACCAACAAAATTTCAACGATACGTGAGCGAAGTGCTCGATGATTTAATCCGAGCCGATGACATAATAGTCTATATTGATGATTTTCTAATCGCGACACAGACTTTAGAGCATCATTTTATAATTCTTAAACGTGTATTGAAACTATTAGTAGAAAATAAGCTAAATTTACGAATTGATAAGTGAAAGTTTATATTTACCGAGATCGAATATTTGGGATACATAATTAATGAGAAAGGAATTAAACCCACAGATAAGGGTATTGAAGCAGTGCTGAAATTTCCGATACCTAAAGTTACACGCGATGTATAGAATTTTCTTGGTCTATGTTCATACCTTCGAAAGTTTATAGAAGGATTTTCAATAATAGTTAAGCCCCTGTATGATTCATTAAAAAAGGAGGTTCAGTTTACAGAAGTGGGATTACATGCATTCGAAGCTTTGAAATCGAAATTGGTCACAGCTTCAATTTTAGCAATTTATGATCCGCATGATTTAACGGAGTTGCATTGTGATGCAAGTGACGTAGGCTTTGGCGCTGTACTGATGCAAAGAAAAAGTCATTTAAAACTACTTCCCGTATTCTACTTCTCTAAACGGACCACTGAAACCGAGACTAAATATCATAGCTTTGAGCTTGAAACTTTAGCCATTGTATATGCATTCAAACGATTTAGAATATACTTACAGGGAATTCAGTTTAAGATAATTACTGATTACAATTCACTTAAGTTAACACTTCAGAAAAAAGATATTAATCCGAGAATTGCAAGATGGGCTCTAGAGTTAGCCATTTACGAGTATACGATAGAACACAGACCAGGAGATAACATGAAGCATATAAACGTATTAAGCAGATCGATTGGAATTTTAATTATAGGAGATAATTCGTTTGAACATAATATGGGGGTTTGTCAAGCGTGAGACAAAAAATAAAAGAGCTAATTTGAAATGAGAAACGGGCTGGTATGTAGGAAAAGAAATTCAGCATTACTTTTTTATGTACCGGAGGATATGAAAAGAAGCCTTATATTTTGAAATGGATCATAACGAAATGGGTCATTTAGGGGTAGAGAAAATGCAAGGTACGATTTTGAAAAGTTATTGGTTTCCCAACGCGCGGCAGAAAGTTTAAGATCACATAAGAAATTGTATGAAGTGTGTTGTGTATTCTCCGACAGCAGGCAAAACTGAACCTGTATTACATACGATACCGAAAGGGGACATTCCGTTTGTCACCTTGCATATTGACCATTTCGGTCCAGTTGATAAGCGGCACTTAGTAAGGCGATATGTATTTCTTGTAGTTGACGTATTCATTAAAGTAAAATTGTATGCGACGAAAACAACTGCTACTTCCGAAGCTATAAAGTGTCTGTCCAACTATTTCAATAGTTATAGTAAACCGCAGTACATTGTATCGGATCGAGGGTCATGTCTTACATCTCAGGGATTCAGTAATTTCTTGACCAAGTGTGGTATTAAGCACATACTAATAGTCACTGGCTCGCCACAAGCCAATGGACAAGTGGAAAGATTCAACCGTATAATAGCACCTATGTTGAGAAAATTGACTGACAATGATAATGGAAGATATTGGTATAAAATACTATCAGAGGTTGAGTACTGTATCAATAGTACTGTGTGTAAAGCTACTGGCGAAACTCCGAGTAAATTACTGTTTGGTATACATCAGCGAGGTAAGATCAATGACGAAATTAAAGATTATTTGCATGAGTTTGAAAGTGATAAGAATAGAGACTTTAAAATAATAAGAGATAAAGCTGCCAATAAAATTGCTGCGTCTCAGAATTATAATGTGCGGCATTTCAATGAAAAACATAACCATCCTCATGAATATTGCGAAGGAGATTATGTGATGTTACGCAATTTTAATTAAATTTTATTCGAATTATTATTCGTCCTAAGCCCCAAGGCCCTCCATACACTATTTTTATTAGAATTTAGCCGGGCGCGTAGTCGTCGTTCACGTTCACGCTCGAAGGAGCCCGGTGCAATGACCAGCCTTCGTTCAGAACATTTTTAAATTACATGAACTTGTACTAGAAATTACTTTATAGTTCCAATGCGAAATTAGTTTGTTACACTGACATGTCGTTATTTTACATGAACAACCAATTTCTCTATTTTAATTACTCACCGTCCAGTAGCCAATTTTGATCGGGGACCAGTTCAGTTTCTTTGTCGATGAGCGATATCATTGCATCGTCAGGAACGTATTTGCCGGAAAGCACGAGACTACTGCGACACAGCGTGCTCATATTTTTTCCCTGGAGGCTCGCTTCCCCTCTTTTTCGCCCGTATTTCGATCCCCACTATTATTCCCCTCATGCGTGCTCATGCGCGTTCGCGAAGCTTTCCGCAGCGCTACCGTGAAAATCACTGCATACCCCCACCAACTATTGGTCCCCACCATGGTCGCGTCGTCCCCACTTTTCGGCCGAGGGGAAAAATATCAGCACGCTGCTGCGACATGGCTCTGTCCAAATCACTGTTGTCAAAACGTTCAAAGTTACACACGTCTTCTGGAATTATTAATTTATTTCCGATTATCGGACTGGACTTTAAAACGATTGATAAATTCTTGTTGATCTGCGCATATCCAATTGTCTACACGTATTATAGATAAACGCGGATTATTTTTAGTTGTTTGGAATAACTTCCTTTTGCAACAAGGAAACTTAAGAAACTCCAAGAGTAGCAAAATCTAATCGTCTACGATTCCACGCAACGAATTTTTATGAATTGTGTTTCAGTAAATAAATCGATGGATTTAGATCGTTGTTTGTTGCAACATTATGTACCAAGTTTTGTTTTACATTCATGAAATCATCGAGCGAATCTAAGCAACAGCCACGCCATGCGTGTTTGATCGAGCCAATTTTTATGAAACTTGAATTCTGCTTTGAAAACTAATATAATCGTTGACACTGCCACTGAGCTTCTGCTTCCGATCGCGTTTTTACACTCTTGTGTATCCGCTATAACAGTATTTAAATCCTCGTAGAGTTTTGAAATGCACATCAGTGTGCAAATATATTCGCGCTGGCAGCCAACATTAATTTCTGTACGCGGGTAGAAACACAAGTGTCC